CGCTACAAAGCCAGGTTAGTGTTAAAAGGCTTTACTCAAACCTATGGCGTCGATTACCAAGAAACATTTGCTCCTGTTGCCAAATTGAACACAATCCGGGTACTGTTACCCATGGCGGCAAACTTGGATTGGAAACTTCAGCAACTTGATGTTAAAAATGCATTCCTTAATGGAGATCTGGAGGAAGAAGTCTATATGGATTTACCACCTGGATTTGATGAAACCAGAGACAGAGAGGTTTGCAAGCTAAAAAAATCTCTCTACGGACCCAAGCAGTCTCCGAGGGCGTGGTTCGACAGATTCTCAAATGCTATCAAACAACTGGGATACAAATAGGCTCAAATGGATCACACCTTATTCCACAAACATAAGGATGGTAAGATTACAATCCTTATTATTTATGTTGATGATATCATACTGATAGGAGATGATGACATGGAGATGGAAAACTTAAAGAAGAAACTTGCAATTGAATTTGAGATCAAAGACTTAGGAGCTGAGGTATTTTCTTGGGATGGAAATTGCAAGAGACCGAAGTGGGATTTCTGTTTCCCAAAGAAAATACACCTTGGATCTTCTAAAGGAAACGGGAATGTTAGGATGTAAACCGGTTGACACACCAATGGATCCTAACATCAAGCTAGGAGGACAAGCGACCAGCAGCCCAGTGGATAAAGGAAGATATCAGCAGTTAGTTGGAAGACTTATCTATCTCTCTCGTACGAGGCCAGATATAGCATATGCCGTTATGAGTCGGTTCATGCAAGCACCATACGAGGAGCATATGGAAGCAGTGCATCGGATTCTGAAATATCTCAAAGGGACTCGTGGAAGAGGTTTATTTTTCAAGAAAAATGAAGCAAGGAGTATAGAAGCTTTCACAGATGCTGACTGGGCAGGTTCTATTAGTGATCGGAGATCAACCTCAGGGTATTGTACCTTTGTGTGGGGTAACTTAGTAACTTGAAGAAGCAAGAAGCAAACAGTGGTGGCTAGAAGTAGTGCAAAAGCAGAGTTTAGTGCAGTAGCACATGGAATTTGTGAACTTTTGTGGCTGAAAATGTTACTGGAGGAACTAAAAATCGTGTACAGTAAACCTTTAAAGATTTATTGTGATAACAAAGCTGCTATCAACATCTCTCACAACCCAGTTCAGCATGACTGAACTAAACATGTCGAAGTTGATCGGCACTTCATCAAAGAGAAGATTGAGGAAGGAATCATTTGCATGACTTATGTTCCCATTGCAGGCCAAGTAGCTGATTTGCTGACCAAGGGACTTGGAAGACCCATGTTCGAGAAATTAGTTGACAAGCTGGGAATGTTTAATATTTTCAGTCCAGTTTGAGGGGGAGTGTAGAAAATCAGGATATCCCGGATTCTAGGGGATTAGGGGCTGTTTAGATATTATTTGGTTTGACTTCATATTTTAAATTAGTTGAGATCTCCCACGAGATCCTCCTGATTTGATTTCTTTTCTTTTCCTAGAATAGTGAGATTTAGTTAGACTAGAAAGTTGTATATATAGGGCTGTAAAATACGTTTTCTGATTAATAAGAAAGTGTAGTGTTTTCCGGTTTCTCTCCTAAACCCTGCGCACAAATCTGTACCTGTGTTTGAACCCGTGCCTGTGCAACCTGAATCTGTGCCTGATCCCAAACCTGTGACTGAATCTGCTCTAGAACATCGGAGATTTGACAAAGGCAAGGTGATACAAGGAAGAAGATGGTTTTCCTGAACCTAAGCAGGTCCAAGGGTCCAACTTAGATCCTTTGAATGAGGTAACAATTTCTAACCCTACATTACAAAATGAAACTGACGTTCAGGTGGAAAATAATGACCCGGACCTACCAGTTGCCATTAGTAAAGGAGCTAGAGAATGCACAACACGACCATTATACCTACTTGCACATTTTCTATCATTTAAAAATTTCTCACCATCTCACAGAGCTTTTCTTATAAGCCTGTATACCATCACTATCCCTACCAGTTTATCTGAGGCTTTGTCTAATGAAAAATGGAAACAAGCCATGAATGTGGAGATGGAGGCAAGAAAAGAACAAAACGTGAGAGTTGGTGAAGTTACCAGCAGGAAAGAAGCCATCGGATTATTAATGGGTGTATAAAGTGAAGTATAGAGCAGATGGGTCAGTTGAGAGATACAAGGCTTGATTGGTAGCCAAAGGGTATACTCAGACTTATGGGATTGACTATCTGGAGACTTTTCCCCCTGTTGCGAAGATGAATACAGTTAGAGTGTTGTTTTCCCTTGCAGCTAACTATGGTTGGGAGTTGCAGCAGTTTGATGTCAAGAATGCGTTCTTACATGGGAAACTAGAAGATGAGATTTACATGGAGATTCCACCGGGTTATGGAAAGAACTTGGCTGCTCATACTACGTGTAAATTAAAAAAGGCTATGTATGGCCTTAAGCAATCACCACGGGCATGGTTCGAAAGATTTGCAAGGGTTATGTCGGCTATGGGATATAAACAAAGCCAAAAAGATCACACACTGTTCATTAAACACTCTCCTTTAGGGGGAGTTACAACCCTTCTAGTGTATGTTGATGATATAATAGTAACAGGGAACGATGACAAGGAGAAATAGGTTTTGAGTCGATGTTTGGCTAAGGAATTTGACATCAAGACATTGGGTAGGTTGAAGTATTTTCTCAGGATTGAGGTTGCACACTTAAGGCAGGGAATTTTTATCTCCCAATAGAAGTATGTTACAGATCTTCTCAAGGAGACATGCAAGACTGCATGCAAACCAACAAGTACTCCTATTGACCCGAATCTCAAGCTTGGAACAACAGAAGATGATACTGCGGTAGACTGGAAAATGTATCAACGCTTGGTTGGAAGACTCATCTATCTTTCTCACATACGACCAGATATAGCATATGCAGCGAGTTCAATCAATTTATGCATAGTCCGAAGGAAGTTCATCTGCAAGCAGCTCACAGAGCACTTCATTATCATAAGAGAACACCAGGAAAGGGGATCTTATTCAAAAGGAATGGAGGATTGGTACTTGAAGCGCACACTGATGCTGATTATGTTGGATCTATTGTTGATAGGAGTTCAACTTCAGGATATTGCACCTTCCTTGGTGGGAACCTTGTGACCTGGAGAAGTAAGAAACAAGGTATGGTAGCCCGGTCGAGTACTGAGGCGGAATTTCGAGCAATGGCTCAGGGTATATGTGAACTGCTTTGGCTAAAGAACATTCTTAAATAGTTGAAGATTAAGTGGGACGGCCCTATGAGACTCTACTGCGACAACAAGTCTGCAATTAGCATAGCTCACAATCCGGTACAACATCACCGACATTGAGTCGACAGACACTATTAAAAAGAAGCTGGATAGTGGACTGATTTGTACGCTTTATGTGTCTACACATGATCAACTTGCTGATGTTCTAACAAAAGGGTTTGAGTAGCTCAGTTTTTCAGACTATTGTATCCAAGATGGGAATGTAAAATACCTATTCACCAGCTTGAGGGAGAGTAGGAAAATACGTGTAATTAATTGGTTAGCTAATTTAAGAAATTGTATTCTATTATAACCTAGGATTAGGCCTATACAGCTAAGTTTCCTTTTTCTGTTAGGAGTTCCCATAAATCATGGGATTTGACTTGGTAGTTTCTTAATTTAGTACTTGGTTGTTCCCATAAACATAAAGCTAACCTTTGCTGTAACATGGAGTAGTGAAAAAACGATTCTTCCGTTTAATCTTTGATATTTACTATTTTGTAAAGCAATGTAATGGAAAGTAGAAAAGTTGTGAAAAGAAAAGGAAAGGGGTAGGAAAGAGATGCCTGATTTCCTTTTTATTGTTTACTTGCTTATTAGAAAATGGAATTGGAAACAATCTAATTCCCTGTCCATTCCTCATGATAGCTTGATCACCAATGTCCTTGTGCATAAATGATATACAATTATTGGCTGAAAACTTAGTAAAGCTCTACAAATAATTTTATAGTTTATGCCAGTTATAGTTTTTTGAGTTTCCTCTCCAATCATCTGGACCCACATAATTTGTCTTCATGATTCTGTCAATAAACATATGAAAGGATGTTAAAAAAAAAAAAAAAGAGAGAGAGATACCCTTATTTTTCTTTTCATTCGTGGTAAATAAACACAACTCTAATTATAATTTGTTAGCGTGTTATGATGATAACTTCTTTATGTTTGCCACAGGTTAGTCGATGATCCAAGCAGGATCTTGATTTCTGGTAGTGGTGATTGATTGCAGATTCACAAATGGGCCCCCTTGCACGGGAGAGAGAGAGAAATTACCCTTATTTTTCTTTTCATTCGTGGTAAATAAACACAACTCTAATTATAATTTGTTAGCGTGTTATGATGATGACTTCTTTATGTTTGCCACAGATTAGTCGACGATCCAAGCAGGATCTTGATTTCTGGTAGTGGTGATTGATTGCAGATGCACAAATGGGCCCCTTGCACAACAATATTTCAGACTCTAAATTCTTTCTTAGTCCAAGTTAGCTATGATTCTTTTCTGAGGAGACCCTTTTTTTTCCTTATTTTTTATAATTATTTTCGCGTTTTTTTTTTCTCTCTTTTTGAATATATTGTATAAACGTGCATAATTCTTTGGTTCCAATGGTGATTGAAGCCATTGCCTTCAATAGCACATTATGATTATGCAATAAAAGTATGATTCTTTTGGTTGCTGAATTTATTCTTTTGTTACTGAATTTGTTCTTTTGACCACCCCACTCACACATCTTGGTTATATTAGGTTTGTTTGTCAGCCCTGTTCTCAATCTTTACTCCAAGTTCTTAATATGGCAAAATGTCAACCACAAGTTTCTGATTTCTTCTATGTATCAAACCCCAAAAATCAAATTCCCATAATTTTTTTTTTCTTTTCATTCTATAAACAAACAACTTGGTACGGAAAGGTCAATCTTGGAAATTTTTTCATTTGTAATTAGGGAACAAGGAAAATGTCAGAAAATGACATTTTTACCAAAAATCCCCGCAAATGCAATAGCCATTTGTGAAGTGATGAAACCTGTTATTATCTCTAACAATGAAATCCCTCTCTAAAATTTCACTAATAAGCTTGAAAGCCTCATGGCAGTCCCGACACATCCTTATATTCTTCATAATTCTAATTGTGGCACTTTTGGGTAAATTTATCAACCCAAAAGCCAAAGCCAATCTCTCACTATGCAAACCCAGTATTTCCTCCTCTGTTTCTTCATCTACATCCACAAAAACCAACCCTTTACCGCCTCCTACATACCCTCTTTCTTTCATTCTCTTTTCCAATTCCCTCAATAGATTCACCACCTCACTCCCTTGCTCACACCACAACACGTCTCCGGCAAAGAACACGTACGTCCAATCCTTGAAGTCGATCCAACTGCAGGCAGTTTCCTTGTGGACCCCACCACGCTTCATTTCGCGTTTAAGATCACGCACGCTGTCCCAGTCACCAGCTAACGCGTAAGTGTTTGACAATGTTACGTATGCACCCGCGACTTGTTGATTGGACTCTATAAGCTGTCGTCCGGCTTCAACCGCAATGTCTACCCTTCCAACAAGCCTACTGGCAGAAAGAAGCGTGCCCCACAACAGAGCCCCGGCATCACCTTCTGCCCGGATAGACTTTGCCACCCGGTAGGCCTCGTCAATCCGCCCGGCACGTCCCAACATGTCAACAAGACAAGTGTAGTGCTTTGTGTCGGGCAATATCCCATGTTTGGCATACATGAATTTCAAGTGTTTTAGGCCTTCATCAACCAGTCCTGAATGGCTGCAGGCATGCAAGACCCCGAGATAGGTGACATCACTCGGTTTTATTCCTCTTTCAAGCATTTCATCAAACAGTTCAAGGGCTAATTTGCCAAGGCCATACTTTGCCGCACTAAAGATCATCGATGTGTATGGAACCACGGAGGCGCACGAAACTTGCCTGAATATCTTGTAAGAGTAATCAAGACACCCGCATTTTCCATACATGTCAATAAGTGTGGTAGCAACCACCTCATTTGCATCATGGCTGCCGCGAATCACCGCACAGTGCGCGGCTTTTCCGGCAGCCAGCTTTCCCAAGCTTGCACAAGCATTGACAATGCTGGACAACATGAAATCATTCGGACGATCTCTCGTCAAGGAACTGAATTCCCGAAAAAGCTGGAGCGCCTCGTGGCCCCGGGCATTTTGGCCATACGTGGCAATCATCGTGGTCCACGAAACGACATTTCTACACCTCATTGCATCGAAAACCCGCCGAGCACCATCAACGTCATCGCACTTGCCGTACATGTCAACAAGCGTGGAGCACAGCACGAGGTTATTCCGAAGGCCACAAACCTCGACGCGAGCGTGGATTTCCTTGCCGGTCCTGAGGTTGGAAAGGACCGAACATGCTTTGATCGCGGTTGAAAACGTAAACTCGTTTGGCGGGACCGAGCACTCAGGCATTTCCCCGAACATCCGGAGGGCCGTTCTGGGCTGACCCAGGTCGATGTACCCGGCAATGACAGCGGTCCAAGAGACCACATTTGGTTCAGACATTTCGTCGAACAGGTTGCGTGCAAGGTCGATTTTACGCAATCTGACATAGCAGTTCAGGAGATGGTTGGCTGTGAAGGTGTGAGATAAAGAACCAGATTTGAGAATATGGGAATGGAGTGAAGATGCAACGATAAAGTTGTTGCAGTTTTGGAGGTTTCGGATGAGATGGGAATGGCCGTTGGTGTGGAAAAACGACAGGTTATTTTGGCGGGAAAGGAAGTTGGGGTTGAGGTTAGGGACGAGGCCTCTCCTCCTCATCTGTGGGTTGTCGTTTTCCGGTTGTCGTTTTCGTTCAAGTCTTTATAAAGGTCGGATAGGAGCATTTTGGTAATACTACTGCCTCTGCCAACTAGCTGTTATGTTTTTTATATAATATAATGGAAGACCTTTACAACAATAAAAATAATTGAAGCTATAATTTCTGAGTAATCCTAAAAGAAAATAACCTTTATGAAGCTTTTTCATTTTTTGGGAAACTTCAATGTTTATTTCAAGTTGATCGCACAACATAAATTTATCTTGGATCTAAAAATTGCTTTTCACTAAATACTTTACAAGTTGATGTGATTATCATTTAGACTAGGGATGTCAATCGTGCCGGCCCGACCTGTTTAAATTAGGTCTAAACGTGTCTCGTGCCTTGTGCGGGTCAATCCATTTATTTATCGTGTCGTGTTAGGCCTATCCCGTTTAATTTTTGTAGCATCAAGCTTGGCTCACGGCCCATTTATATGTAGACCGTACCCTTAATGGCATTGGTCGTGCTCGTGTTTTTATCGTGCTCTTAAGATGCTTTTGTCATGCCACATAGCATATTTAAAACAAATACAAAGAAATAAGCTTTTAACATAATGAAAACATTAAAGTCTTAACAAAAGAAAGCATATCATTAATTAAAAAAATTACCTCATTCAAAATTTTACCAAACAAAACCCACTAGAATAAAATCTTGATAAAGAAAACTTCTTAATAAAACATATATTTTTATGATATGTAAAATATATTAATAAAATTAGTTTTATACTTCATCTTTATTAATTGAGCTATTATTGTACTTTTAACGTGCCCGTGCTCTTAGCGTGCCGTGTCCTTAACATGCTTTGTGTCTAAAAATTGTGTCAAGTTCAACCCATTTAATAAACGGAATGGACAATACCCATTTAATAATCGTGTCTGATCACCCACTTTTTAACGTGCCGTGCTCATGTCGGTCCATCAAAGCCCGGCCCATTTTGACATCTCTAGTTTAGGAGACGTTTGATTCATAGATTAAAATCATAAGATTAAAACTATTTTTGATTTACGTGTATTTTTTGTGAAAAAAAATACTGTAGTGAATCATGAACCATGATTCGAATCGGGATATGAATCCTTCAACCAAACAACCTCTAAACTTGTAGCCATGATTCATCAAGCAATTTTACCACCGAGCGGTCCTCACTGCATAATGTTTCACTAATCACCATCAATCAAGGTACAATTTGACTGGTGGTTTAGTAGCACCTTTTTTTTTTTTTTTTTGCATGGCGAATATGCTAACCAAAGGTGTGATGACAATATCAAATAAAATTGGTTGTCTGTATATACATATACACATATACATATATATATATATATATATATATATATCTGTGTAAAACAGGCAAACGGGGAGGAGGAAGAGGAGGGGGGCCATTGGACAGAAGCATGATGATAAGTTGATAACTACATTAGAATTGGTCTGTAGAAGTGCAGACATCTATTTAGCAATTGGGAATGGCCCCTACCAGGACCACTAAAATAAGTCTGCCACAAGAGACAATTGAATATACCAAGTACCATTATTGTTGGATTCCTATTCACCCTTTTGTGAAACATTTTCAAGGATATTTTTACGGTAGGTTTTGAAAACATGAACTATCAGTCCTTTTTTTTTTTTTGTTATTAACCGTCATATCTTAATAAGTGATTATCTATTATATATATTTTTTCACTTTAACATGATTTTAACTAAATTTAAAGGTCAAAAAATAAGAAGTTTTACAGTAAAAGGACCTAAATTTTAAAACAAATAAAAATAAAAACCATTTCTTCACATAATCAGTCAACATAGATGATGATGATATCACACACAACAAAAAATTAGAAAAAAAGACGATAATAAAAGCAGAAAAGCAGAAATGATTTGAACTATAAGACGATAATAAAATTAAAATACATGCAGTGTGTTTCATGCTAAAAGCCCAATGAAGAAAATCTCTTATTTATTTCACATCATCATTCCATATAGTTGATGATATCACACACAACTAAAATGAAATATATATATATATATATATATATGCAATGATAATAAAAGCATAAATGATTCAAACTATATTGAGTGTGTGAGAGAAAGAGGAAAAACATGCAGTGTGTGTGTCATGCTAAAAACCCAATAAAAGTGCATCATTTTGTTTGATCAACTAGCCTTCATTGATGCGTCAATTCATAAAGTGTATGATGTGGGACCAAAACAGTGTCATAATTGAAAAAGAATAAAGAAAGAAAAAAAAATGCTCAACAAAGGAAAGGCCAGGAGAAAAGAGGGGGAAGAAAAAGAAAAAAAGAAAATCTAAGTTGAATAAAGTACCTACCTAGTGGCTTCATGTATGCTTTTCTGCCTCTATAAATAGAGACTTTCCCAATACAACTAGAGCCATCAAATATCACTTGTAAGCCTCGTTGCATAAAAACAATTTACCTCTATTTTCCGTTTCCAATTTCCATGGCCCCAGTCCCCATTTCTCCCCTCAAAATTGGGCATATAGATGATGTCCAAGAACTTAGAAAATCCAAGTCCAAAATCCCTGAAAGATTTCTGAGGGACATAACTGAGAGGCCAACTCTGGTCACTCCTGAATCCTCATCATCACTTAGTGACATTCCCATCATAGATTTCTCCAAGCTTTCAAAAGGAAACAAAGATGAACTTGTTAGTGAGCTTGTGCGGCTTTTGACCGCCTGCGAGGAGTGGGGATTTTTTCAGGTAGAAAATTGCATTTTGTTCATGTTTACTTGCCTTAAAAAAAAGACATGGTTTATGAAACAAAACTAATCTCTTTCACCATTTTAGGTGATAAACCATGGAATTGAGCTCAGTTTGTTGGACAAAATGGAGAAGGTGGCCAAGGAGTTTTTCATGTTACCTTTCGCGGAGAAGCAGAAGTATCCGATGGCCCCCGGGACGGTTCAGGGATATGGGCAGGCTTTTGTTTTCTCAGAGGACCAAAAGCTAGATTGGTGCAACATGTTTGCTCTTGGGGTTGAGCCAAAGTTTATGAGGAACCCAAAACTCTGGCCAACAAAGCCTGAAAACTTCAGGTAAATGGTGAAAACTTTGCTTTCAAGTTATGTCAAAACTCTTTTGGTGTTTTTTAAGAGTATCAAAATTTTTTACTTACTTCTTTTTTCCTCATTTGGTCAGTGAAACTGTTGAGGCTTATTCAAGCGAAGTAAGGAAATTGTGCCAAAGTCTACTGAAATACATAGGCATGACTCTTGGCCTAAAAGGGGATGTACTTAATGAGATGTTTGGTGTGGCTGTGCAAGCTGTAAGGATGAACTACTACCCTCCATGTTCTAGACCTGACCTTGTTTTGGGCCTAAGCCCACATTCAGATGGAAGTGCTCTTACAGTTTTGCAAGAAAGAAAAGGAAGCTCAATAGGACTCCAAATCCTCAAAGACAACAGATGGGTGTCAGTTCAGCCAATCCCAAATGCACTTGTTATAAACATTGGGGACACCATAGAAGTGAGACACACATTTTTGGCTTCATTGCTTCATTTTTTAAACATGGAAATATACATACATACATATATATATATATATATATCATTTCTTTACTTGAATATTTCAGGTTCTTACAAATGGAAAGTACAAGAGTGTGGAACACAGAGCAGTGACTCACAAGCACAAGGACCGTCTCTCGATCGTCACCTTCTACGCTCCGAGCTACGAAATCGAGCTTGGCCCGATGCCCGAACTGGTGGATGAAAACAACACATGCAAGTTTAGAAGATACAACCATGGGGAGTACAGTAAGCACTATGTGACAAACAAGTTGCAAGGCAAGAAGACACTGGAGTTTGCCAAGATTCAAACCAACAACTCAAACTAAGCCCCACTTACTCTCACCCCATGTTGAAATTCCCATCATTAGCAACTAGCATCATTCATATATATACTTACATATATATATATATATATATATGTATGTATGTATGTATATGAGGAAAAATAGAATGTTTTATTAGACTTTTTTATTTTTATTTTTAGTTCTCTCAATCTTGTAAGTAGGAAAGATAGGGGTTGAGGGGTTTGCTTATGTCAAAGTAGAGCCTTAAATTATTGGTATTGGGCAGTACTGTATGGATGTAACCAATTAATGAAGCTTGTGGGGTCTTTGTGCTTATAAGGCTTTTCTCTTGTCGAATTCTGTTTATTTTGCATCAATTATAAGCGATAAGGGTAAAATATATAAGTTTCACGTCTTTTAAATATAAATATAACTACAGCATATAAGAATATTAGGTCACTCCACTTAAATAAGTTAAGTGTAATTTATCTCTCATTTCACTTTTTAAATTTTAATTTGATATCAGAGTCCATTGCTTAAATGAGCCGGGTCGATCCATCAATATACAAACTTAGTGACTCTTAACAGAACATCATCTTATAGGGGCGTTTTAAGAGTAGTCTAAATACAAACATAACTACAGCCATATAAAGATATTATGTCACTCTACTTAAACAGATTAACATTTTAAGATGAAAATCTAATATCTAAAGTGTAATTCTTCTCTCTCACTTTTCTTTTCAATCTCCCCATAAGCTCTAATAGTAAGCTTCACAAAAACAAGAATCAAACAGAAAAGTTTTTGTCACTTTTTAATTGTTTTTCCCCTCTCTTTGATTCCTAGTGTAGAAAGAAGCGTTTGATATACAATCTTTTGCAGAATCTAACACTGCCCACCACCACCACCACACTACAACAACATGTTTCTGAATAGATAAAAAAACTTTGAAAATGGACGCACAAAATCAATAGGTTCTCCATTGTTCACGGGAAAAGTTTGGAGCCCTTTTTCTCGGTGGTGGGAGAAAAGATGAGGCCCCAATTACATATGAATACATATACATATAGGCCCTGTTTGGTGTGCAGGATTAAGGGGGATTTGATAGGATTAAATTTAATATTGTGTTTGGTGCACATTTTTAAAGGACTGAATTAGATAAACTTTTTATGCAGTTCATACCCTCTTAGAAGGGGATGTTCCTATCCCCCTACTGGAGCATGGGATAATATTTTAATAAAGCATATTGTGAAAAAACTAGGAACTTATTTGTAAATTTTTATAAAATTTAGGGTCTAATTGTAATTTTACAAAAGACGAGGGCCAAATTGCAATTTTTATATGAGTAAAATATTTTAAAAAATTATATTTTTGCCCATCAAGTTTTAAATTACAATTTGATCCCAAACTTTAAATTTTTTTTACAAAAATACCCTTATCTAATAACACAACACCAAACATGAAATTGGGTTAAACTAAGATCTAATCCTATACTTTCCCATACATTTCAATCAATTACCCTAAACTATACTCTTTTATCTTGCGCACCAAATAGGATATGATATATATTAGATATATATATATATATATATATTGCTTGTTCTTATTATTGGATTCAAGAGAAGCACCAAGTTAAAGCAAACTAGTGAGTAAGTTATGGGTATTTGCTGAGTGTAAGCTGAAGTGACATTTTGAGTGGTGGCAAGAAGTAGAGCACAAAGCAAAGCTCAATCATTGATGACATTAGATTTGAGCTATTTTAAGTGGAGTGACCCTCCTCAAAGTTCACTACACAAACTATAATAATGATTTCCAAGGAAAAAAAAATAAAAAATAAAATAAATAATGCAAATATAAGTAACAACAAGTTTTGTTTTTGAGCCTAAATCAAGTAACAACAAATTTAGAAAAGTAACAGACGGTGCAATTAGACTAATGAAATGTGGATTTTTGAACCGTCAAACATGGCCTCTCTACAATTTGAAAATAAATAATAAAAGTTAGCAAAATGAATGATGATGCAATTAGTTCAGTGGAAATAAAAAAAGAAGCGACAAAAAAAAAAAAAAAAATGAGAATGCATTACGCCATTTAGCATGGCTTTTTAATTACCTTTTACTTCCACAAAACCGTCAGCAAAGAAGAATCAGTTTCCACTTTCTACAATTGTTTTTTCTTCGCTGTAATTGTTAGTCGAGAATCGGTACTATAATTTAACATTAACAAGACAAGATGACATAATCAACTAGTACATTGGATTTTTGCAATGTTCATATTCTCTTTCTTTCATCACAAAAAAAAAAAAAAAAAAGATTATACCTAGTCACATAATGACAAAAATACATGTACAAAGTTGAAGCCTCATTATGCTGTTATTGACTTCTCATAGATTTTTCAGTAAATGCGTACACTGAAAAACCCCAAAAAAAAAAAAAAAAAAAAAAAAAAAAAAAAAAAAAAACACTACATGTGGGATAAACACAAAGTTTACTTTTGTTGACTCATTCACGACTTACTTGACATTTGGGAATCCACTAAAAACAACAAAAAAAAAAAAGGAAAAAAAGAAAAGGAGAGTGCTAACGCAACGCAAGTGTCAGCTGTTCTTAACTTTGCTATGACAATCAGAATTATTGGAACGGCACCAAATTCCTGCCCAACTCACAACTTTGAAGAAACCCCCTTTTTTTTTTTTTTTTTCTTTCTTTCTTTTTTGTTTTCGCTTGGGGATTTTGAGGAAGGTGATATAAGCAAAAATGGGTCCCAGAATCCAAGTCTAACGAACTTCATAAGTTGCAAATGCCAAACGTGATTAATAAACAATTAGAAAACAAAAGGTAATGCCATCATTAGAAGAGTTGAGATGAGACAAGTGTGAAGTAGGGGGGGACAATAATTGGCGTCCGTTCAAGCAATTGCTGGTCTTTTCTTTGCGAGTTGGGCATGCAAAGAGAGCCGTTAATTTTGCTTCTTTCACTTCCTTTCCCAACCCCATTCTGCCCAATTTGTCATGTTGTGTTCATCATGCACTTTCATTTCATGTCTTGGCCTTGCAAGTCCATAAATGATAATCTCATTTCTTCTTTTTCTTTATATATATGTGCGTGTGTGTATATATACACATGTATATATATATATATATATGTGTGTGTGTATATATGTAGCCAAATTTGACCCTTTTAATCAACTATACTTTTAACTCAACATTTATACATGTTTTGTCACGAGTAAACCCCATTTCGTCCAATGTTTCTACAAAAATTTTTTTTTTTTTTTTTTTTTTTTTTTTTTTTTTTTAAGGATGTGTTCGTGTTTACTTGAATTCTTTTTAGGAATTTTTATGATGCCAGAGAAAAATTCTGGCATCACGTCGGAAATACGATACTTTATACATGTTAAAAATGGTAGAATTTTAACCGTTTATTTTACCGATTTAAGTTTAAAATTTGAGTTTTATTATAATAAAAAGCTCTAAAAAATAATCACATTTAACTTTTTTATTACAATAAAAAATTCTCATAAAAAATCACATCTCAACTCAAATTAAAAACTCAAACCAATAAACTTTTAATTCGACATTTATACAATAATCTCGTCAATTTTTAAAGAAACACGATAATTTGTACATTGTAAAAGTTCACAGTACTGTGAAGGCATCGTGAAAAGACCCTTTCTTTTACCCCCTGGGAGAGTTTGATGCGTGTAAAAATAGTTAAGAAAGCTCTTAAATTTCAACGTGACCAATGATTGCAAATCTTTACTGAAAGCTACTTCCAAGTTTATCCATTTGTTATTATTTTCAAGGGAAAAAAGAGACGTGCCTAACCGTTGAAGTATCTTACAATACAATAAAATACAATAAAAGAGACAAAGCCCATCTCTATGGGGCTGCCACTTAGCTCTTTTTTTTTTAACTTTCTTTTTTAAATTTTTTTTCATTTTAATTTTTTGTGAGTTTTTTTAAAATACTTTTTCACTTTACATCTATTTAAGTAAGTTTTTCATGTGTTTTTATTTTATTTTTAATTAGTTAAAATAATTATCTTTAAACGTGTCTCAACTTAATTCTTTTCATTAATTATTATCTTTATATATATTTTTTTTAAAATAAATTTAACAATCCATAAATAGTTGTATAAATAAATTTTTTATTATTTAATAAATAATAAACTCTTCAAATTCGTGCGGAACACGTTATTAAAACTTATACTTTAAATAGTGGGACTTTGGAAGATTTTTAATACTTTCGGTCCCTTTAATCTTTTCAGAAAGTGACAGTTTTATAGTCTTTTGAATCGGTCTAAAAGTTATTTTTAAAGACTAAATTCTCGTGGTGCTAAGTGCTAATAACGTGCGTTCTAAGCATTTGAACTTCATAAAATAACACTACCAATGCATCTGCAAATGGCTCATTTATCTTGTTCATCACATTAAGCAAAGAAGGTGAGAGTTACCATGAAAATATGACACGGCACACAAAAAGGCATAAACGGGGTAGGCATTCAAATACTACAAACCATTCCAATACCTAATAGATTTTTAATTCACCACTGGAGTAATATTACCACATTTCCTTTCACTTTCAGTGGGTCAAAGAAAAAAAAAAAAGAAAGAAATAACAAAGCATGCAGGGATTAAGTCATGATACATGAGGGCGGGTCTCACTGAAGCACCGGACCACATCAATTACAATTTTTTTCCAATTCATGGATCTATAATTCTTGCCCGTATCAGGCTCCAAAGGCAAAATGTACAAGCATTCACCGCGCCTGCTTCTAAGGAATCGCAAAAGGGGGGGCACTCATACGCTGGATTATAAACCCCACTTCCACCATGAAACGACCATCTTTTTCGCGCTGATTCCGGAAGCGATAGTCATCAGTTTATTTGGCAACAAGGAATCATCAAGGCCATATCATGCCAAGTATCTGAACATGTTCGGGTTATCTTTGTCTCTTTCCAGATAGTCTCGGGTGATCAGATCTTCAATCCGCTTTTTAATAGCCTTGAAGTCAGGCTGCAACAGTAATTTAATCAATGCCACAGGATTAGAACACAAGTAAAAATATGATATGCACGACTAGTTGCTGAACTATACAAACCTTGAACATGCGACCCAACTGCTCAACACACTCCATGACTAATTGCTGATGACCCAAAACTTTACGACTCTTCATGATGCGTACAATCGAGGCATCAATGGCATACCGTCTGTCCTTGTCAACATCCTCAATTACTTTCTTTTTCTCATCAACTGGAGGGAGAGGGATCTGTACGTTTAACAAAATGATTTGAGAGAGAGAGAGAGAGAGAGAGAGAGAGAGAGAGAGAGAATATCTACCCACCTTGATCCTCCTCATCTTGTCCGTAAACTTTGAGTTGAACTCAAAGTGATCGGTGGGCGAGATGGTTTTCGTACTTGGCTCCTTGTTGAGAATTTTGTACTTGGCGCATGACAAGGAATGGAGCAGTCTAACAACATCATCATCACCCAGGTTTAACTGAGTCATTATTTCTGAGTAACTCAATCTATCTGAGGAATTGAATAGCAACAAGGCAGAGGCCTAAAAAAACAAAACAAAACAAAACAAAACAAACAAACAAAAAATGAAAAGAGAAAAGAAAACCATCTTAGAATAACGAAACCACCATCTAAAAGTCTATGAAACAATCAAATGAGGAAGCATGTCAAGACTAAGGAATTTTGAACTAACCTGATACGTTGTCACAATCAGCTCCATGGTTTTGGGTTCAAATTTCCCACTGATATTACAAATTCCTAGGGAATATATCCATGTAAGTTTTCTGTGCTTTGTTTTTGTCTGGTAGAATTCCCTGAAAACTTCGACACACTTAACCTGAGAAAAGAGAGAGGGGGGGAAAAAAAAGCTAATAAAACTCTCCAAGAATTAAGCTTACAAGGTTAAGAAGAGGTGAAGGAAGATGAGACACTGACACATACCATCTCAGCTGGAAGGTTGAGGTCAAAAGACTTGTAACTTGGCCAGAAGCCAGTAGTCAGTACTGTAACCGTCAAATCAATCCCTGGATTTGCATGAGGATTGGTACTTAGATACTCCTCAAAATTGGTTTGGTTTTCCTTTGCTAAAGTCAAGTCCGTCACCTACGAGAGGAAAGTAGCATTTTTTAGATACCTTCTTTAAGATACTTGCAAACAATATTATCTTGTAAAAAGCCTATAGCAACTGACCATTCCCTCCATCTTTGAAGTGAACTGTCCTCCACACTGTTGTTTCAGTTTTGTCAAAATACATCTCTCATGGTCATCGTTTGCGCTCTTGTCAAAAAGAAGGCGTCGGGCAAGCTTTTTCCTGTCAGCCGTGGACATAGATCAGTAATCTAATATCTACTAATTTCAGGTGAAGTATCAAAAAATTATAACCTTATTATCCAAAATAAAGAAACAAATAAAAAGAAAAGGACTACAAGCATTACCTATAGAACTCTGCAAAGAGATCCTTGTCACTAATATAGGCAAGCAGCTTTACAACCTGACAATTAATTAAAAGTCAATAGCTAAATCCTCACGTCTATGGAAGTTAAATATATTACTAACAAATCAAAAATTCTGAAAACCTTTTCCAGAGTCTCCTCGATGGCTTCGTCACTCAGTTTCTCACTTCCACCTTTCTTCAGAATGTTATCACAGAAAGTGGCAAGCAGTTCTGCACTTGAGCTTCCAGCAACACCCTTGTTGCAGAAGACCTCAAAAGCTTCCTTAAGGGCCTGTGGGAGGGGAAAACAAGATGAGATAATATACAGAAGTCAGCAGTGACGAGTGCATTTTTCAAGCCACTTCCATATGCAAACCTTGTGAAAAAGTGTATGGTTTTGAAAGCAGTCATTCACGTATGCTAGATACTTGTCGTGTAGCTCGATGACCTTTCTGACAAAAACCTGAAGATCAAGCCACGTTAGTCTATGCTTGAAACAAGCAGTCTCATCAAAATATAATACTTTACAGAAAAGAGACCAAAGAGTTACCTGCTCTTGTAAACCAACCACATCCTTCTTCTCTGCCTGTGGACAAAATAATCAGCATTCAACAAAATCAATTGTTAGTGACCAGGGCATTAACCACTAATCGACACATAATGATGGAACGAATGAAACCACAAAAGAAAGCAAAACGTGTTCATTAACATGAAGAGCAGAACTCAGTTCAAGAGAATCGAGAATTTTTAACAACCACAACTTGAGATTTCCACAATGATACATTAGTGGGGGATATATACTTTTAGAGATACCAAATTGCAGAAACTAGTTAAAGAGAATCAAGACACCGACCTTCTTGTTGCTTGCTGCATCTTCAGCCTGTTTAACTAGCGTCATTCCTTCAGCAGTGACATGCTGCAGTGTAGATAAGAGAATGTCATATAATACTTTACAAAAAAGAGACCAAAGAGAGAATATAATTTAACTCAAATCCCTTTTTAACCCAGGAAAACAGTTCACAAGTAAAGGGCAAACCTGTTTAAATATATTTGAAACGGGATCCAAGCCTCGAGGTATCTTAGAAAAGAGCCTGAACATCCTAGACAAATCCCCCACCTTTTAAACAGCCAAAAAAAGAAAGAAAGATAATAACTAGTCAATTTACTGATGTCTACAATCTAAGGTACAATTATTAAAATGTTTGAAACCAAGTAAACCTTATCATCTCGCAGCAATGCATGGCATCCAGAGTGCTCTTTCTCAAGTAGCTGTGTTGCATATACGGACAACAACTCATGTTGAACTTTCTACAAAAAACTCATGACACCAAAAGGTCAGATTATCCAAACATCCTCGCCCACGAACTAACTTCACCCAAAAGAATGATTAATATAATGAATTACAAACCTCCAACAGCTTTGGCTCACTACTAGAGTGCAAGTAATGAGAAACCCTCTCTTTCTCCCTTCTTAAACATTCCTCTGCCTGGAATTTCAAATTTCAGAAATTATTCAATATAGACAAATATTGCATTTTACCAGATAGAGCACAAGCAAAAGAAGCTTACTTTCAGCATATAATCTGGACAAGAATCTTCTAGGATCCAATTTGAAGCTTTTCGAGAATAATAAGCTGCAGTATCTTTAAGCATGGTTGCTTCAAAATCATTCTCATAGTGGTCCATTTGCCCCATTCCAATCTCAACAAATATATCTAAGACATTCTTTAGCAAAGCTCGGTCTATCTGCTCTCCTTCACGTTCCTGGTCAATCTGATTAAAAGAATTTATCAAACCTCTTTTGACCAAAGCCAGATTAAACCACATAAGTTAAGCGAAATGCAGACATACCAGAGAAATCACAGCATCCCTAACTTTTGCATTCAATTCCTGGTAGACCTGAGAATGAGAATACACGTGCCCATGATATCACAGTTTGATTTTTATTAAAAAGAGGTGAAGGAAACAATAGAGTACATTTCTGGCTAGAAGGATTAAGAAAAAGGATGGGGGACTGTTGATAAAAACTAAAAAAATAACACAAGGAAGGACAAAATGGTTACTTTCAGGACTAAGGACTGAGTCATGACTTACCAGATCACGGAAACAGGTGAGGCCAACCTCATTAAGGGGTGGAAGCGACCTCCGAGCGATAAAGTATCGGTCAAGGTAATAGAAGAAACGAGAGAGCCACCTAACCATGATTTTATGGTTTGCCCATCTTTTCACAAGTTCTCTCAACATAAACTCATCATGTTTTTCTCTTAACGAGGGCAGAACCTGAGTTAAAGAAGAAAATTCAAGCTTAACATCTTAGAATAGCTAAAAGAAAGTTTGTTCTCTAAATTTCCAACAAAGGTAAACATTAGTGAACTCATAAATTCAAGCGCGCTTTTCATAGGATAATTGTCAATTGCAGCAAGCACTCATAAATTCAAGCGTGCTTTTCATGGGATAGAAGTACAAATTGTTAATTGCAGCAAACACGTTTTGGAACTTCTTAAGCTCCAAAGAATGCATTTCACACTTCTTAAGGTTAGGACAACTAATCAAATTTGATCCTCGAAAAATGAACAAAAATGCATGTAAAGGAAGCAAATATGTAAAATGTTCCTCACTGTTGAAGTAATATACTCTTCAAATGATTCACGGTATTTGTCATACAGCTGCTGGGAGTAGTCATGTGGGGGCTTTTGAGTGCACATATTATAGATCGTTCTGCAAATGATATTAAGGACAACACATCTCCACATAAAGTTGAAATTCAGAAAAAACAACCAAATGGGATTAATTAAGAATCAAAGAAAAACAAAAAACCAGAAAGCATATCAAAGAAAATGGATACGTGTAAAGCATCATGTAGTCCTCGGAGCTGAACTGCGGCTCCGGCAGTCCTTCTAGAATGTTCTTCAGCTTGGTGATTCCCTTCTGCATAAACTCCCATCCTTGTTCTAGGTCAATCGTCTTTCGTTCATTCATCGTCATTTCGTCAACTTCTAATCAATCAATTATCACAATCCCAAAGTCAAATCTGCATCTGCATAATGAGAAAACAACCGTACCCAAACGATTACTCAAACTTGAAGCTCATAACAATGTAAACGTTCAACAGAACACTTCAGCAAATTTCCTATCTTTATCGCTAGAACCTGACGCCAACGAACCGAAGACCCTAAACTCCTGTTTGGCAACCGAGAAAACAAGTAGGTAATGCAAGATATATCAACAGAAAACGACTCCCAAAGATTCCATCCAACGGTTTCTAGGCAATCAAGAAACCCTCAAGATCCCAAAAATCCCAGAAAATCAGCCTCCAAAAGCGAAGCACCCCACTATAAAGATAAAAAATTCAAGCTCGAAAACAACAAAATCAAGAACAACCAAAGGATCGACAATCACCGAGCAGCTAATGATGAAGCAAATCAAGGAGAAGTGAAATGAAATGAAAACAAAAGAAAAGAAAAGAAAACGAAAAATACCTGATTCCGAATGATGAAGGAAGCGAATTGCAGAGAAAGGAAGGTGCGAAGAAAACCCTAGCGATGATGAAGCGCAGATGAAGAGGAAAACGAGGACGACGAGCTCCCAAAGAGCATCGATGGAGAATTTGATTTTTTTTTTTTAATTTTTTTTCTGCGGAGCAAAAAGGTCTTTGGAGTTGAGATCAGATGTGGACTCTTTTGGATTTCGAGTCCTATATTATTTCCTTTTCTTTAATAATTATTATTTTTCTTTGTTCTGTTTATTTTGATACTTTTTATTAAGAAGAACTGTTTGTTTTTTATTTATTTATGAAAATTGCTAATTGTTTTTTGAATTTCACCAATTTTTATTCAAAAAGAAAAAACTACCAATTATTATAGGCAGAACGAACCACTAATTATTTTTATTGTTTCTCCTTTCATCTTTTTCTTAGTTTTATTTTCTTTAGAATTCACTGTTTTTTGTTATATTTATTTTGCTCACGTGTATTTTTCCTTAATGAAGGTTCTCTCTCTCTCTTTTTTTTTTTTTTTGCTAAAAAGGTTTCACCTTTTCTTTTAATCCAAGGCAATGGGACATCAACTTAATTTTGTTTTATACAAAAAAAAAAAACTTAATTTAGTAGGTCTTTCAAAAAATATATAATAATTTGGAGAGGATTCTTTTCAGAAAAAATTTGTATTTCGGTAACTAATTAATATGAGAGTTAATCAAGTACATAAATATGGATTCGGATCACGTTCTCTCAAGAAAAAAATTTGTATTTCTGTTACTAACCCCGTTCACTTCGTTGATTCGAATTTAAAATTTAAGTTTTTCTACAATAAAAAGCTCTCACAAACAATCACATCTAACTTTTTTACTACAATAAAAAGCTCTCACATAAAGTCACATCTCAACTCGAATTCTAAACTCAAATCAGCAAAGTGAACGGGACATTAATTAAGTATATGATACGGATTCAAATTATGTGGCTAGAAAATATAGTTCCAACCGTATGAGCTGAGAACAATAATAGAAAAAGCTGTATCACTAAATAGCGTTAAATGATTTAACTTGAAAAATGAAATCAAATGCCGTGTTTAAAATTGATCTCATTTTTGTTTTTTACGTTTTTCAAGAAAGAAAAATAAAAACGTTTCTAAAACGGCGTTTGGCGCAATAAAGACAAAAAACAGAAATGAAAACGATTTTTTGGTTTAGTGTAAAATGAGAGAGAAATGAAAAACTACTTTTAGTCGTTTTTTATTTTTTGTTTTCGTTTTCTCATCCCTCGAGTAAAAGAGAGACATTAATAGATTTTTTACACTGAAAATAATCTCTTGATAAACTATCAAACGCATTTTTAAAAATAATTTATGTCTAAGATTAAAAACGTTTTTATTTTTACTTTCATAAAAAAATAAAATTATTTTGGAACAAATTCCAAAATAATTTGAGTTTTTAATTTGAGTTGAGATGTGACTTTATGTGAGAGTTTTTTATTGTAGCAAAAAAGTTAGATGTGACTGTTTCTGAGAGTTTTTTACTGTAACAAAACTCAAATTTTAAACTCAAATCAATAAAATGAACGGGGCCTAAGAATAAGAAGTAAGAAGTCAATGCAAACAACAATAAAAAACTAAACAACACGGAAAAAACAACAATCAAAGGAATGACAATGATTCGAACGACATTGAATTTGAGAAAAGAGACGGTTGATATAAGAAACAACAAGAATAAGTAAAAATAATATTAGCTCTTTCTTATCAAAATAACAATAATAATAATAGGGAAAATCAGATAAATGATTTTTTTATCACTTTTTTTTAATAAATGGCCGAACAATTTTTATTTTAGATGACCGTTTTTTTTAGAAGTCAATTAGATGATTGACCGATTCATTAATGTAATTTACCAATGATTTATTTTTTATTTTACTAAAAGGATCGTTTTGTTTACCGGAGTCAATCAGTAATTGACCTATGACAATTAGTTATTGACCACAGTTAATCAGTGATAGAGCCACGATATTAGTGATTAATTGATTCATTATAAATTTATCAATGATTTATTATTAATAAATCTAATAATTTATTGATTAAAATTGATTAATTACTAATTTATTTTAGTTAATTATTAATTGATTTTGATTAATAATAAAGAATCATCGAATTAATCAACGATAAACTTTAATCAATCATTGATAGATAGTTAAATCAATCAGTTATTGACCGCTAAATCAATCAGTAATTGACCACTATGCTAATAAAAATGGTCATTTTTACAATTTTACAAAATTTCGACCATTTATGATAAAAATCTTTCAAAAATACTATTTGTGATGAAATAATAATAATAATAATAATAATAATAATAATAATAATAATAAAAGAGTGTCTCTTGTAGCATTAAAAAAATGAACTATCAATAATTCTTCACTTTCAATCATTAAATTTGTGTTAAAAATTATATGTTTCACATATTTTTTGAATCATCGATCTAAAAGAAACTAATTCTACTAGTGGAGTGGAGAGATTTTACTGGAAAAGTCTCTAATAATAAGAGAAATAATAACAATAACAGCAACAGTTGACAAATGACAGCATTCATGGAACAACAATTAAGCAAAAAGATAATGGAATAAAGCGTCAAAAAATGAAAGAAATGAAACAACAATAATTTTAGACCAAAAAAAGATTTCGAAAGAAGACAAACAGGGAAAAAAAAAATTTTAACAGCAATCTGGAAACGACTAAGACAAAGAACTAGTAAAAAAGTAACAACAAAAGTAAAAAGATGACAATCAATAAATCAATAAACAATTATCTATATATAAGAAATGACCATCCTAACTACTATTCACATACTTTTTCAATCAAAACGACGTCATTTTAATTAAAAATGCGTGAATAGTAACATTATTACTACAGTAATTTTTTTAAAAAAATTTTGCTCTCTAAGGTTTTTTGCCTTTCATTTTAGTTCCTTTTTTTTTATCTTTTTTTATATAAGAAATGATAATCTTAAGTACTATTCACGTACTTTTTCAACCAAAATGACGTCGTTTTGGTTGAAAACAAGTGAATAGTAATAGTGTTGCTGCATCAGTTTTTTTTAGCTTTCGAAGGTTTTTTTCCTTTTCATTTTAGTCCCTTTTTTATCCTTTTTTGGCTACTTATCCTAAATTTTTTTTTTAATTTTAGTTTCTTTTTAAGCTTTTATATGCTTTTAATAATCATCCGATAATAAAACTTAATACACGATTACTTTCTGTGCATAACACGTATTCTTCAACTAGTAAAAAAAACTAAAGCAAATAATAAGTAAAAAATAACAGTGAATTGAGAAGGAAACAGGAAACGACAAGTAAAAAACTAAGAATGAATTTGATCAGTCAATTAAAAAACACAACTGTAGAACAAAAAGAAAAAGGATTGGTAAAGGACAAAGAGAACAATATGGAAAACGACATGAGTTAATTACAAAAAGCAAACGGGCAAGACCATAAATAGAGACAATTGATTGGAGTTAATAAATAAAATAAAAAAACCTTCAAAAATGATGTTTTGAGAAAATTGATTGATTTTAAGAAAAAACGACAATTGAGGTGAATGCTAACAAAACATAATACGACAGTTGCGTAGAGAACGACAACAAGTAACAAAACAACAACTGTATATTTTTTTTTAAAAAAAGGAATAACAACAAATAGAAAACAGAGATGGTATCAACAGAAAGAGTGGATCCAACGGCAGCGACGATTCAAGGAATAACAGAAGAAATCATTTTTGCAGTTAATACTAAAAAAGATTAAATACAACAACAGCTTTAATAGAAACGGTGAGGTATGAAAAGATGACAACAATGAATGAGAATGATAAACGGCCCGTTTAATTCGCTGATTTAAGTTTTTAATTCGAGTTGAAATGTGATTTTATGTAAGAGCTTTTTATTGTAGTAAAAAAGTTAGATGTGACTGTTTTTTAGAGCTTTTTACTGTAGTAAAACTCGAATCGGTGAAATGAACGAAAATTCTGACAAACGACATTGCATAATAAACAATATGACAACTTATCGATCCATCCTAAGAGTTTAAGAGAAAGTTAGTGGGTATGGACTGAACAACAGATAATCATGAAGATAAATATTAGAAAATTTTATGTAGTATGGCACAAAAATCTAATAACTTTATATTTATGATATCTAGTCTTCTACATCTCTATCGATTAAAAAAAAAAACATATATTTTACAAGAATATTATCGGAGTCGGAGATGTCCAATCATGATCGTTGTCGAGAAGAAAAAATAATTTGGCAAGATATTTTTTCTGTTCAATCTGTAAGGGATATGAGAAAGTGTCATTGAATCCAATTCGCAATAATTAATCGGTTATTCACACTTTGCATATTAGATCGGTTATTTAACATGAGGGTCTCCTTGTAATAATAATTTTTAACTTAAAAGAGGGACCTAAACTAATATTGTAACGATAAATTATTAATAATTTTAAATATAATATCTTTTGTATTTTCCAGCAGAGTAAATAATAATAATTTTTCGAGTGCAAGAGGTTATTTTGTTTTTGTTTTTGTTTTCTTTTATAGTCTCACACAAAAATCTCATTAGGGTTAACTATAATTTGATTAGGATTAGAAGTGGTTCACTCTCAAGCCAAAATTTGTCTCAATTTTTACGATAAAATACTTTTTGTGATAACCAACATTGTCAGTACAAAAAATATAGCAAGTACGAACAATATGTTATGGACAAAAAGGGCTTAAAAAAACTCAACTTAAAATAACCAATGAACAAGAGCCAAGAACTTGAAACGAAAAGAAGAAAAAACAAAGCACACACATACTGGAGAGAAGGACACAAGGAACGAGAAAGAATACTACTGAAAATAAAAGGCTGAGCCCGTTTGGTTTATGGATTATAATCATGATATTATAACTATTTTTTATTTACGTGTATTTTTTGTGAGAGAAAATACTGTAGCGAACCATAAATCATGATTCGAATCAGAGAACGAATCCTCTAACCAAACGGAAATTAAACACCTTAATTAAGATTTTAGATCTGAAAACAACAAAGAAAACCTAACCGTTTTTAAATCTAAATTCCACAAAACAACCTTACTTGTTAGATATTGAAAATAATCTTCTATAAAATATTACTTGCAAAGTTGAAAATCTTGAA